AGACTGAGTCATGAAACAAAATCTAGCCTAGAGAGAAAAAAGCTGGAGACAAGAATCCCAATGAAAAGCATTACTTCCTCTGTTTTCCACTAATGGCCCTGAGATCTTTGAAACCTGTCAAATTGCATTTGAAGTGTGCTTAAGACTATGATAATCAAATTCTCAATGCACATACATATACCCTTTGATCCAGAAAGTCCAGGGCTAGGTATTTACCTCACAGATATAGTTTATATGTAAGGAATATTTTGTATGAAGCTATTCATTACAGTGATATTTGTGATTGCAAGAAAGAAAAGATAAATAATCTGAAGTGGTATATAGGACATGCTAAATAAATTATGGTTCATCCACACAATTGAATTTGATGCAGCAGGTAAAAAGAATAAAATAGGCGCACGCCTGTATCCCAGTGGCTCAAGAGCTGAGGCAGGAGGATCATGAGTTCAAAGCCAGCCTCAGAAAAAGCAAAGCACTAAGCAACTCAGTGAGACCCTGTCTCCAAATAAAAGTATAAAATAGGGCTAAGGATGTGGCTCAGTGGCTGAGTGTCCCTGAATTCAATCCCCGTATCCCTCCCCCCACCAAAAAAAAAAGTGCTTTTACACTGAAATAGGAAAATCTCCAAAATGAATTAACTAAATAAATGAAAACTATACAACTATAGAAATAATATGCTATAATTGATGTCAGAAACAGAAACACATGTACAGGATATCTAAGTGAAGATGTGTAAGAAATAGTGTCTTTGAGATGGAGAAGTGGAGGAAAGGAGTTGAAAGAGGCCAAAATTCTGTTAATTGGTTCACATGAGATTTAACAAATAACAATATACTAAGGATAGTAACTAATACACATAGTTCTTACTTGTCATGTTCTAAGCACACTACATACTTAAACTATAGATATTCAATTAGCTCTCTTCACTACAATCATCAACTGTCCTTGAGAATATAAACATGACTTAATCATTTTTATATTCTATAAAAAATCTAGCACAACATTTAGCACATAACGCTAGATTCTCAAGAAGTCTGTGCCTCTTTCATTCGTTCAGTATCAAATACAAGGGAAACCAATTATCTTCACCATTTAGAACTGATTTAGGAGCTTAATAATCTTTATGGAAAATTATCTTTTCATAATCAAATCGCTATAATGTGAAGCTGAGCCACAATGCAAAAATAAGTGGCTTTCCAAGGGTGCAATTACACATACATATGATTGTGGTTCTGGTAGATATGCTGGTGAACTCAAACAAATTATGGAAGAAAAGTTGTCCAGTTTTTCTCTTATTTTCCACTCAAAGAACTGCATTATCAGAGCACAGTCCTTTTCCTTTATAAACCTTGAGTTCGTGCCAGTATTCAAGTGTTTACATGTAAAAGGTCTCCTACTAAGTTAAATGGAATCAAGTATATAAAGTGCTTAGCACAAGTCTAACTGGTCATAAACTGCCATTAAAGTGAAGCTATTTCTCATTTCTTATTTGGAGGCTTCAGGCATCATGAAAAAGGAAAGTAAACAACAGGGAGTACTTCTTCGATCTTGTCAACAATTGAGAAATGAGTCTGTTACAAAAACAGAGGGGCACACAAAGTGGGAGTGTTTTTCCTTTTGAAAGGTTATTAAAAGTCATCAGTGCTATGAATCAGACAATCTTGGGGGAAAATAAAACGCTGATTCTCAGATTCAAAAATTCACTTATTCAGGGCTGGGGTTGTGGCTCAGCGGTAGAGCGCTTGCCTAGCACGTGTGAGGCACTGGGTTTGATCCTCAGCACCACATAAAAATAAATAAAATAAAGGCATTGTGTCCATCGACAACTCAAAAAAGTATTTTTTAAAAATTAATTTATTCAATATAATGTTTATTTGAATGCATACCTGAGCCAGGTAGGAATTATGACCAGCAATTATTGTCCAAAAGCTTCTTTCATTAACTTAACGTGCTATATTTTTTGCATGTGTTTTCTATTTTTGAAGTAAAATTTGCAAATATGGTGATAATGCCAAACCACATTTTATTAAAATAGTAAAATATTGATAGAAATAATTCTCTAAACTATGACTTTTGGATTTAATAAAACAGCTAAAAATTAAAATAAAATTAAAGAAACCAATACAAGGTTATACTAGTTTTTTAAAAAACAAATTTTTTTTGCTGAGCACAGCGGCACACACCTAAATCCCAGTCTCTTGGAGGATCACAAGCTCCAGACCAGCCTGGAAATCTCAGCAAGACCCTACCTTAAAACAAGAAATCAAGGGTCGAGGATACAGCTCAATTGGTAGAGTGTTTGCCTTGCATGCATAAAGTTGTGGGTTCAATTACCAGCACCACAAAAAATAACAAGTTTTTACCTCTTCTATGAATTTAATTGTATTCTCCTAAAATTGAGATTGATGTTCCAACCCCCAGTTTCTCCAAATGAAATCTTATTTAGAGATAACTTCTTTAAAGATGTAAATAAGTTAAAATGGGATCATGAGGTTGGATCATTATCCCATATGATTGGTGTCTATATAAGAGAAGAGGATGACACCAGGAACGTGCACGCATGGAGAAAAGGCCATGTGAGTGTGCCACTCTGTTTTTGTTACAGATTCATTTCCCAACTGTTGACAAGATTAAGCACAGCCTTGTTTACTTTTCTCTCTGAAGAAAGTGGCCATCTGCAAGCCAAGAGTAGCCTCAGAAAAATAACGAACGTACCAATATCTTGATCCTGGACATCTACCCTCCCAAACTGTGAGAAATGTTTTAAGTCATCTAGTCTGTGGTATTTTATCATGACAGGCCTTGCAAACTAATACAATATACTCTTGACACCATTTCATAAAAGTACACATTTTAAACCACAGTAGTAGGAAAGATATCATTTCTGAAAAGCAGACAGCCTGAAACCAGGGAAAACTTACAGGAAATTTCTAGCTTCACTTATTTTTAGTTCCTTACTTTTAGTTGACTTTAAAAAATCACCAATTTATGCCTTGCAAGTGTCAGGCACTGGATTTGATCCTCAGCACCACAGAAAAATAAAATAAAGGTATTGTGTTCACCTACAACTAAAAATCATCAAATTTGGAGGTCATGCAGCTGAGCATGACCCACTAGTTTTATTAATCTCCCACTAGTTTTGTGATGATAATAGTTACCTAGATTACTTCTCAGGGACTTAAAGGCCACTTTTGTTGAAACCACTGACTGACTCTTCACTTGGTCCTGTGCAAGTGTCTGATGGATCATCTTTTGACCTTAGGAAATCAAAAACTATGGTCAGATCATGCCAATGTCTCCATTTTCTGAACATGCATCCCATGAAGAGCCATGAAATTTTATTATGCATGAACAAACCATTTATCACCTCCAATCACTTTCCCCTATAACCGTGTTTCTTTAGCCCCAAAATACCCCTAAACCCTATCCTCAAAGAAGCAGATTTGAGACTTGGATCTCTCAACTCAGTGCTTGGTTGCCTTGGGAATAAATTCTCTTTTGCAAAACTCATTGTTTCAGTGATTGGCATACTGTGCAGCAGCCCAAAGGGGCCTTCACTGGTAACAAGCCTTTTGTATTGAACATATTTAGCTCTTTGAAACAGTTGCTGTCAAGGTGCCATAACAAAAAGCATAATATGGGTAATTTATAAACAACAGAAATCTATTTCTCACAGTTCTAGAGGCTGGAAGTCTAAGATCAATGCTGATTAAGTGTTTGGTAATGATCCATTTTTTGGTTCATAGGTGGTGCTTTCTGGCTATACTAGAAGGGACTCATGGAATCTATCTAGCTGTCTCTCTTTTCTCTCCTCTTTTATAAGAGCACTAATCTCATTTGTGAAAGCTCTGTCTTCAAGACCTAATGAACTTCCAAAGTCCCCACCTCCTAAAACCATCACAGAGTTGAGGGGTAGTTTTTCAACATATGAATTTGGGGAGAGAGAGGACATAAACATACAGACCATAGCACTTGCTATGTTTTTATTTTTTCTTATTTTGCTGTATATCAGTGAAAACTCTGTCATTGACAAAGGAAACCCGACTCTAAAATCTTTTTCTTCTGAATTTTTCATTCATTTGTTCAAAAAGTAAAGAACATAGATTACATCTAACTTAATAAGATCCTACTACCTGACAGATCTATTTTAATAGTTAGAACATAATTTATAAATTTGTCACTTACTTACATAATACAAGAAACCTTGTAAAAATAACATTTCTTCAAATCATAACCTTTCAAATTCAGAATTATTCAAGTAAAAATAACTATTCAAATTTTTTGAACTGTCCCTTTGCTAATTGCTTTTATTTGTTTTCCATATTTTTACTGGTATAATTATGCATAATAGTGGGATTTGTTGTTACATATTCACACAATATAACAGTGTAATTTGGCTAATACCATTCCCCAGAATGTCCCCTTTCCCTCCCTTCCTCTCTTCTCCTGGTCCCTTTCCTCTACTCTGCTAGTTTCCCTTCTATTAAATTATTTTTAAAATAGAGTTGAATGGTGAATGCATCTAGGAACTTTGGGGAAATTATTTATTTCACTCCATGGAGTTTAGACAAGTATATTTCACATTTCATTTTTTAAGTCAAGAGTCAGAAAACAGCCGGGCACAGTGATGCACGCCTATAATCCCATTGACTCAGGAGGCTGAGACAGGAGAATCGCAAGTTCAAAGCCAGCCTCAGCAAAAAGCGAGGCACTGAACAATTCAGTGAGACCCTGTCTCTAATAAAATACAAAAGAGGTCTGGGGATATGGCTCAGTGGTCTAGTGCTCCTGAGTTAAATCCCTGGTACCCCCCAAAAAAAAAGAGAAAACATTTTTTGTACATCCAGCACTAATAGAGATCATGGTATATCAATGAAATATTTAAATACTGAGATTGATTTTCAAATAGAATTCTATAAATAGTATTAAAAGAAGAACACATAATAATACAACCTACTTGGATCTAAGAGCCTTAATTTATTCAAATTTTGAAATAAATTAGTCTTCTAAAAATTTCTCACTGAACACATTTTGTATCTGGGGATATAGCACAGTGGTAAAGAGTGGGTTCAGTCCCCTAGACCATGGGTTCAATCACCTGCACCAAAAAAACACAAACAACAACAATAACAAAACACATTGTGAGAATGGGTTCAAAGACAGAGGAATCAGTCAGTCATAAGTGATTCATAAACATGACATTGTTAAGATGTGAGTGAAGACTGCATGTTGGCAGTACAGGCAACATCCTGCTCTCCCTCTTCTATGGAGCAAGGGCATTTCATATTTCATAGTTTCTGAACTTCCTCAGGAGTTCTGAGGGAGCATCCCCCGACCAGCGGAAACGAAGATGCCAAGAGTTCACATCTGAAAAACCTTTCGAAGAGAGAAAAGCAATAGTTAAAATCAGAGTGAGATAGGAAAAGAAAAAGGTAAAGACCATTTATCTATAATGGTAAATAAACAGCAAGGAGATAAGATTTCAATGCAACATATGTAGGGTAAGTAGTCAGTATGAGTCATTAATATTTTACAGAAGCAGATTAACTTAAGCAGACTTTGAAATTCTTATGAACAGGAATTACAACATACATGTCTGACGACCTCACATGTTTAAATGATTAATAATTATCCTCTCCAGTAATGGGAATTTAAACAAGTCACTTACAAAGATTAAACAAATTTCACACAACTTTCAAAAACTTTTCAAAAAGTGAAAGGTCAATGGTAAAGTATCCCTGGAAATATAAGCAATTGAATTCGAGGGTAATGAGATTTTTTTTTAATTTCAATAAACAACATTGTTGAAAACTAAAGAAAAGGTCATTGTCCTTCTCTACTGGAAGAAGTATAAATTGATAAAACTCCTCAGGAAGGCCAGGCATGGTGGTGCACGCCTGTAATCCCATCTGCTCCGGAGGCTGAGACAGGAGAATCGCCAGTTCCAAACCAGCCTCAGCAATAGTGAAGTGCTAAGCAACTCAGTGAGACCCTGTCTATAAATAAAATACAAAAAAGGGCTGGGGATGTGGCTCAGTGGTCAAGTACCTCTGAGTTCAATCCCTGTTACCAACAAACAAAAATCTTCAGGAAGGCAATTTGTCATTATTTATCAGACTTGTTAAGATGTATAAACTATTTGCCCAATAATTCTATTTCTAAAAATTCTACATCCTAAGGAAATAATAATGGATATCCCCAAGGGCTAAAATATAAGAATATTTATGATGATACCATTTATACTTTTTTTCCTGTACTAGCATTTGAACCCAGGGCATACACATGCTAGGCAAGTGTTATACCACTAAGCTACATCCAAGCCCTATAATTTTTTTTTTAATTCAAGAAGCATTCAAAATCTTCAGCAATAGAAAGTTGATTAAAAGGCTTTAATATAGTCATTAACAATTTTTTTGAACCAGGGTCTTACACATGCTAAGCATGAGTTCTACCAATGAGCTATAACCCCAACCCTGACAATTGTTTAAAATATTTATTATCATAAACAAATTCTCGTGGAATATTTGTAAGTGACAGATAATTAGAAAACAATTTATATGAGATGATCTCATTTTCAAATTCATTATTTACATAGGTATTAATGTGAAATTTTTTAAAACTCTAAAAGGGAAATGCTAACACCAAATATTATCAGTATTTCTCCCTGAATAGTTAGAATAGATGTAATTTTCATTTTTATAATATCTAAATTTATCTGGACTTTCTTATTTTTCCTCAATAAAAAGTATGCTTTTGTGCCTTTTTTATGTTTATTGCTAATAAATTAAAAAAAAAAAACAGTTTACAAGCCAGGCATTGGTGGCACACCTGTAATCCCAGTGACTCAGGAGGCTAAGCAAGAGGATCACAGGTTCGCATCCAAGTTGAAAAACCTAGTGAGATCCTGTCTCAAAATTTTAAAAATAGGGCCTGCAATGAGGCTTGATTGTAGAACACTTGCCTAGCATGCATGAGGACCTGGTAGTACCAATTTAAAAAAAAAAAAAAAAAGCAGTTTACAGAATAATGTGTCAAATATAGTTCTGTTGATATTTTAAAATATTGAGTCAGGAAAAAAATATACACAGAATAGTTTACAGTGTTTATATCAGGAAAAGAGGATTTGTGTGTACTTTTAAAACAATTATCTTACAAAAATAAACCCAGATATCATTTCCTAAGTACTTGTATGAAGACATGAATGGTGTGAATATGCAACCAGAGATGTGAAAAATTGTGCTCTATATATGTAATATGAATTGTAATGCATTCTGCTGTCATATATAACAAATTAGAATCAAAAGACTTTTTAAAAATCCAAAGACTTTCCATTTGAGGAAAAAGCAAAAAGGAAATTATTTCTGACAACCTATAACTCACAAAAAACTCACAAAATATACATAGCATTATCTTATTAGTTTTAGGTATATAAATATAAATGAAAATAAAGCAAACTCTTATAGATATTTTCTGGGTGACAAGATTACAAGTTACTATTTTTTTCTCTTTGTTTGACCATATTTTCTTCTACAGTAAACAAGTATCATTTTTGTAGTTTTAGAAAGACATAGCTTCAGGTTTAGGTTCCCCTAGAAATGACACGCAGGCAGGAATTCAAACCAAAGTTAATAATGTGGGAATTGATTCCAGGACACCTTGGTAAGGAAATGGGAAAGGGAACCAAAACTGTAAACATTATCAAACAAGTTATTGCCCTAAATGACCAGAGCTGATCCCACTGGGGAATCCCAGGAAACAATATAAAAACCCTTAGAGTTATTCCAAATGAAGTGTAAAGGAGCTGAGGAACTCAGCCTCCCACTCCCATCCATTGCCTGATGGCTACATCCAAAGGGTGTTGATTCCCTGGCACTTATTACTTGCTCATTTGCTGCCAGGCAGGCTCCATTGCTAGGGAAAGTCCTCTGGTGGTGTCAGTATTTGTGGTAGAGAGCATAGTGTTGGCAATGCCTGAGCAGGTAGGTACCCAGGGATATGGTGACATGCGAACAGCATCTGCATTGAATTTTTTTGTTATCATTCCAGAATGTTACACGAAACTATTTGATTTTAGAATTGTAATTATCAAAAAACATATGCACGGCAAATTTTAAAAGAAAAAGTGAAATTGTCTTATACAACTTATACATGGTCTAATGCATGAAGAGTCAGAATGCAATGGGGACTATTGGTGGCTGTTCATCATGGAATAAGCATCATAAGGAAAACTTAAAGGTAAATATCAAGCACTGCTTGCAGATATTAACAAACATGCTGAAAAGTAATATATGAGAAGCCACTTAAGGTTTGATAAAGCTGATATAATAATTTCTTAAATGCTGATATTATAAAAATTTACACTGCAGCATAATGAAATTATAAATAATCATACAACTACACTTTTATACATAAAACTCCAACTCCAAGGCTCTGAAGAACCAATAATCTCTTAAACCAATAAGAGATTAAGAAAATACTGGGGCTGGGGATGTGGCTCAAGCGGTAGCACGCTCGCCTGGCATGTGTGCGGCCCGGGTTTGATCCTCAGCTCCACGTACAAACAAAGATGTTGTGTCTGCTGAAAACTAAAAAAATAAATATTAAAAAATTATCTAAAAATATTTAAAATAAAAAGAAAATACTGATAGGGCTGGGGTTGTGGCTCAGTGTAGAGCACTTGCCTAGCATGTGTGAGGCACTGGGTTCAAGTCTCAGCATCACATGTAAGTAAATAAATGAAATAAAGGTCTATCAACAACTGAAAGAAATTAAGAAAAAAAAAGAAAATACTGATAAATGCAGCCTTTGGCAGAATTTCATCATTCTTCTTCAACAACAACTTCTCAGAACAATGATCCTTATCCCCTCCATTTTGCTCTTCAACCACAGTAAGAATATATGCTTCACAATATGAGGACATCAAAACTGTCCTCATAATTTGTTATGAGTAAATTATGATATATCTACACCATGGAATATTATCAGCTGTTAAGAAGAGCAAATCCATTAGGGACATAAGGATCTAAGAAAAAGTCCCATAATGATAAGTGCCATTTTTAGTGTTAGCTATAAGAGCTAACACTAAAAATGGCACTTATCAAGTGCTTGGCACTATTCTAAATACTTTACATATATTAAATTTATCACTCCTCAAGAAAACCTTACAAGGTAAACACTAATATTTCAACCATTATATTGATAAGAAAACTCAGACAGTGAGGGTTTTTAACCAGTTTCCCCAAGGTCATACAACTCATCAGTGGGAAACTGGGATCTAGTTCCAAAGTCTGTACTTCTGAACACTGTGCAATATAAACACTCATACAAGGTATGACACCTTCTTTATTTTTAAAAATTTTATAAAAGTGCATGTACTTACATACACTTGTATTAGCATAGAGAACAGTGTAGGAGACATGCCTGAGCATCCACATCAGTTATTTCAGGATGTAGAAGCGGAGGAAATCAGCAGACTGGGGGAAACTCGAAGTTATTACTTATCGGTGATTCTTTGAACTTTTTACAATAGGCTTATATTACTTGATTTTTTAAAAAAAGAAAATTTCCTAGAATTCTTGAGAGAGACTCAAGTGGTTCCTCAGCATCATGCTTGAGTTTCCTGAAATGTCCAACCTCCTCACCCCATTCTGGTGGGTAAATGCAGTCTAAGTCTGAATCTGAAATGGAAAGATCCAGGGCTTCTGGATGCACAAAATTGAACATTTTAGGTCTGAAAGAAAAAAATATTTGCTCATTTGTCTCTGTATGTGTATCCGGGAAGGTGGTGTGCTTGCTTAAAACACAGGTTTGTGGGCCGGGGTTATGGCTCAGTGGTAGAGCGCTCACCTAGCATGTGAGGCCCTGGATTCCATCCTCAGCACCACATAAGAATAAATAAATAAAATAAAGGTATTGGGGCTGGGGTTGTGGCTCAGTGGTAGAGTGCTCACCTAGCATGCACAAGGCACTGGGTTTGATCCTCAGCACCACATAAATGTAAAATAAAGATATTGTATCCACCTAAGCTTAAGAATAAATATTTAAAAAATAAAAATAAAAAAAGTAAAGGTATTGTGTCCATCTACAACTAAAAAAATTTTTTTAAAACACAGGTTTGTGAAATTCAGGTTCTGCTTTGATCAAGTTTGTTATATTATAACTATTTCTAATTGTGAGATTGATGCAATCAACATGCCTACTTTACAGAGATCTCTTAATAACAAGCTGAGACACCTGAATCAAACTCAAAGAATCCTCATTTCAGCAAGTACAGAGAATGTGAAAGTTCTCCCAAAGGAAAATTTAAAGTAACTATTTCTGGAAATATTATCATTTACCACAAGCTATTTAATTATTTCTTTTTATACCAGTCAGTATTCAAAGATTCAAGAGTGTTTAAGAATCTTCTGCTTAAAGGCTTTTTTTTTTTTTTTTGGTACTGGATTGAACTCAGGGGTACTTGACCACTGAGCCACATCCCCAGCCCCATTTTGAATTTTATTTAGAGACAGGATCTCACTGAGTTGCTTAGCACCTCTCTTTTGCTGAGGCTGGCTTTGAACTCTCAGTCCTTCTGCCTCAGCCTCCCAAGCCACTGGCATTACAGACGTGTGCCACCGCACCTGGCTTAAAGGCCAAATTTTAATGGGATATTGCATCATAACCCTGAGAATCAACATATAAGGATTTGAGATAATTACAGTGTGTGTGTATATAACATACCTAAAATAGTTAATGCAGTTAGTTGGATGGCTAGATAGACAAAGACACAATAATAATAGTTAACATTTACTCAAAGCCTGTAATAGGCAAATCACTGTGCATAGATCTCCCCATTTAATCTCCATGGTAACTTCATGAGAAGGTATTTTTTTAATTGATTTTATTTTTTAAATACATGACAGTGGAATGCATTACAATTCTTATTACACATATAGAGCACAATTTTTCATCTCTCTGTATATAAAGTATGTTCACACCAATTCATTTCTTCATACATGTACTTTGGATAGTGATGTCTATCACATTCCACTATCCTTGCTAACCCCCTGCCCTCTCCCTTCCCCTCCCACCCTTCTGCCCTATCTAGAGTTTATCTATTCCTCCCATGCTCCCCCTCCCTACCCCATTATGGGTCAGTCAACTTATATCAGAGAACATTCAGCGTTTGTTTTGGGGGGATTGGCTAACTTCACCTAGCATTATTTCATGAGAAGGTATTATTATAATTCCTTTTTATAGATGAGGAAATTGAGGTCTAGGGAAATTAAATTTCTTTTGCCAGGAAATACAGTTAATAAGTAGTAGAGTTAGACTATGAACTCAGATACCACAGCTTGGGAGCCAGCAGTTGAACTTCTGCAATACCTTGCTTCAGTGGCTCTATAAGTGGTTTGTACTGGTTATAGGGCTACTTAGAGATGAGGTATCATCTCAGAATAGTGCAGTGCCTTGGAATACAGACTCTGAAGCCAATCTACCTTGGTTCAAACCCCTTCACATACAAGCTGTATAGTCTTGAGCAAATTACTCAACCTCTCTGGGCTTGTTCTCTCATAGAAATGAGACACTAATAATAGCACAAGGCTCCCAAATTTGTAGTGATGATTAATAAGTTAATACATGCAAACTAAAATTAAATGAGATGATAATATAAAGCAATATATGTATATATGTATATATAAAGAATGTTCCTGCACATAGTAAACATGCAATAAATGTTAGCTAGTGTTATTTCATTAAAGCAAAAAACACTATGAGAAATGTCTCCTTTGGAGGAATTTATGTACTTTCCACTTTATGTATCAATGCTAAGTATCTTTTGAGATACTAAACCAATCCTTAAGTTTGGAACTACTGTACAGATTGGAAACGGTTTAGAATAAATGCAGTGTAAACCAAGCTCTCCAGTTTCAGACCTACTATGTTCTGCAAAGATATAATGATAGGACTTACTTGGAGAGTCTGGATTTTGTGGAGAGTTTGACTTCTCCAGGGACTCGGGTGCTTTTTGCTTCATTTTCTCTGTGGTTGAACCCAGTTCCTCTTTCTTTATTTCTCTTTGCTCACTCCATTCTTCATTATTAGTCTTGCTGATCTGAGTCTGCTCAGATTCTTCCAGCATCAGGTCTTTTTTACTTTTGACAGCCCAATGCATTGACTAAATTAATTAAAAGCAGACACATAAATAAGTCAATATCATATGGCTTTCTATATTTAAAGTTCAATATGTCTAACACCTGACCTACTATTATAGTACCAATTAACAGAACAAATTGACTTGACCAATAAACCAAATATTCATGATTAATCCAGATATTAATTAATCCCCAAATAATAATTGAGTGATTCCTGCTAGTTTGAAGAGTAACAATACGAGAAGTCATATCATGATACACAGCAAAGCCACCAACACTAGAGAGATTCAATCAACAATTCAATACAACAATTGTGTACACACGATTGTAATCCCAGCTACTGGGAAGGCTGAGACAGAGAATCACAAGTTCAGGTCAGCCTGGTCAACTTAGTTAGACACTATCTCAAAATCAAAATAAAAAGGGCTAAGGATGTAGCTCAGTGGTAGATACTCCTGGGTTCAATTCCCAGCATCATAAAATAATAATAATGAAGTGTCCCCTCAGAAAATTAAACACAGAATTACTATATGACCCAGCAATTCCATTCATAGGTATATACCCAAAATAATTGAAAACAGATATTAAAAAAAAAAACTTGTACACAAATGTGCATAGGAGCACTATTCACAGTAGGCAAAAGATGGAGACAACCCAAATGTTCATCGACTGAAGAGTGGATAAACAAAAATGTGGTATACACACAAAATAAAATATATTTCATAAAATGGAATGAAGTACTAATATGTGCTATAATGTGGATGAGCTCTGAGAACATACTAAGTGAAAGCCAGATCAAAAAAGGTCACATATTGTATGATTCTACTTATATGAAATATTCAGAATAGACAAACTTATATAGAGAGAAAGCACATTAGTAGTTACCAGGGGCTGGAAGTAAAGGGAAATAGAAAGCTAATAGATTTCCTTTTGGAGTAATGAAAAAGTTTTGTTAACTAGAAAGTGGCAATGGAAGAACGACATTGTAGACATAGTTAATGCACCAGAATTGTATACTTTAAAATGGTGAATTTTATGTTATGTATATTTTACTAAAAAAATTAAAAGAGAGAGAATAGAGCCAAGACAGAGTTTCAATTAACTACTATTGTAACTACTATTATTATACCTACTTGCTAGGGTTTAATGTGTCCTCCAAATTTCATATGATGGAAACTTTTTTTTTTGTACCAGGGATTGAACTCAGAGGTGCTTAACCACTGAGCCCTATCCCCAGCCATTTTTTATATTTTATTTAGAGACAGAGTCTCACTGAGTTGTTTAGGGCCTCTCTATATTGCTGGGTCTGGATTTGAACTCAGGATCCTCCTGCCGCAGACTCCCAAACTGCTGGGATTACAGGCATGTGCCACTGCGCCTGGCAATATGTTTGTAACTTAATCCCCAGTGCAATGGTGTTAAGAGATGGGACCAGTAAGAGGTAATTAGGCAAAACCTTCATGAATGGATTAACATTCATGAGTAGGTTTGTTATGAAAGCAAGTGGGTCTCCCTCTTGCGTTCTCATTCTCCCTTGCCCTTCTACTTCTGCCATGGGATAATATAGCAAGCAGACCCTCTCCAGGGTAAGCCCCAGGACCCTGAACTTCCTAGCCTTCAGAACTGCACAAAATAAAAATTCATTCTGAATAAATGACCCAATCTCAGATATTCTACTAAGAAGCATCATGAAATGTACTAAGAGACACTGCTATTGCCACATGTACTATTGTGATCCTCCCACCTAACCATGATCAATGCAGATTTGGCAAATATTAAAATTCTGGATTATACATCTCTTTTTAATAAAATTCATGACAGAAAGCAGGATTTCAATCAATGTTTACTATGAATAGTGATCTTAATTTTAAGTGGGTTTACTTTAGGTGAAATTTTTTTTCAAGTCCAGTTATCCTCAGATAACAAAAACTTCTTAAATACATTTCCATTTGTTTTCTTAAAAGGATGATGTAAAAATGTTTATGTACATTACATGGAAGATTTCTGAAAGGAAGCACAAGGAATTACAAGGGGGGCTATTTCTAGGAGAGGGGAGTAGAACTGGGCCTGGAATAAGAGAGGACTCATTCTTTTAATTAAATATCTTCTTACACTGTTTTGATTTTTTAACAATGGCATCTTAATTTTATTATACTTTAAATTTATAAATTAAAAAATCAGGATCTATATATTAGCAGTGTTGGGCATTGTCCATTGGCTTCCAGTATAACTTTTATACTTTTAGACAGAAGGAAGCAAACCCTAGAAAACTGTCCCTAGAAACCTGATATCCTAACATTGTATTCAATATACTTGGTGGTGGTTCTTTGCTCAGTGATTTAATTATGTAATTGTATCTACATAGCTCTGGCTGCTTTTGGTGAGTTGTTGAGGAAGAGAAATCAAAAATGAGTCTTCTGATAGAAAATTTTGCTAGGTCAGGTACCAAGAAATGAAAGTATGAGACAGAGGTATTTTATATGTGTCCTTTTGTACCTTTTACATTTTTTGTCCCACATGTGCATTTCCTATTAAAATATTTTAAATTTGGGGACTGGGAGTGTAGCTCAGTGATAAAGTATTTACCTAATATGTATAAGGATTGATCCTTAGCACTGAAAAAAATTGAAAAATTACAAGTTTCTTATTTTAAGAATATGTCAAGTAAAATAATTAGCCCTAGCATACACCAAAATAATGAGCTTTGCTGATTCTTGAAAAATCATTTGAATATAGCAGGAAGCTATTCCTGGCCTAGCATGCTACCTTTGTTTACTACCAGAGCGGCTGGGATTACAGGCGTGCACCACCGTGCACCTCCATTACTTATTGAATAAACTCAGAAGTTATAACATTTAAAAACTGTGCCACAGACCACAGAAGGAGCTGCCTCCTCTGCTACTCATATATCCCATCCCCTGACATGAGAGGCATCTTTCTTTTCATCTTGGTGTACTTATTTCCTGGAAAGTATGAGCCACCTTTTAATTAGGGCTTGACAGATACCACAATTTCTTATCACCTGTCTCAGGAGGACTAGTACTAGCCTTACAAGCAGGAGCCATAATGACCTCATCAAAAAGAAAGGGTAAGTGCAAAAGGGTAAAATGCCTTCTTGGAGTCTTTTAATTCTGTTTTTATTTGTTTTTATAAATTTGGAGTTTATGATGTGATAATGATGTGATATTAATGAAACAGGATAAAATCATCATAAATAGCATGATCTCAACAATTTTACAAGATAGATGAAGGGCAAGGGATGTTAGTTCAGTAGTAGAGCACTTGCCCAGCATGTGTGGGGCCCTGGGTTCAATCCCCAGCACCACACACACACACACACACACACACACACACACACACACACACGATAGATGAATATATTCAAATATAGACAGAAATAGATATGCAGATACATATGCATATAATATGAATATAGATAAAATATATAGATAGATTAAAGAACAATATATCATTCTGTACAATTTCAAACCATAAGTATATTCAAACCTTCTGTCCTAATCCAGTCAAATAAGTCATTTATTCACTTTCAGCTTATCTCTTCTTAACTCTAAGGAAGAATCACCCTGAATTCTTTTCCCCATATAAATTCAATCCAAGACTAATCAATGCCAAGATCCAAGATCCAAGAACCACTTATAGAACAGTCATTGCCATTATTCAGTGTAATCAACTCTCACACTCAAAGGGGGAAAAATGGAAGGAAATGCACCAAAAGGTTAACTGGTGGGCTGGGGTTAGGGCTCAGGGGCAGAGCAGTTGCCTTGCATGTGTGAAGCACTGGGTTCAATTCTCAGCACCACATATAAATAAATGAACAAAATAAAGGTCAACCAACATCTAAAAAAATTTTTTTAAAGGTTAACTGGGAGGCAGGGACTGTGGCTCAGTGGCAGAGCACTTGCCTGGCATGTGTGAGGCACTGGGTTCAATCCTTAGCACCACATAAAAATAAACAAATAAAATAAAGGCATTCTGACCATTCACAAAAAAAAATTTAATTAAAAAAATAAAATGTTGGAGCTGGGATTGTGGCTCAGTGGTAGAGCACTCGCCTAGCACAGGCGGGACCCAGGTTCAATCCTCAGCATCACATAAAAATAAAGGCATTGTGTGGTGTCCATCTACACCTAAAAATATAATAAATATTTATTTAAAAAAATAATAAAAATAAAATGTTAACTGGGGTTATGCCTGCATAGCAGGATTATAAGGTTATTTATTTTATTTTAGCATTTTCCAAACTTTATGTGAGAATAATATATACATATATGAATATACGAACATATACATATATATAATTAGAAGAAAACTAGATTTGAAAATTAAGATGTAATTATAATTGTAAAAAGGAGGAAGCCACTGGTTGCCAAAAGTATGTGTTGGGATGGTTACCAAGTAAACACTTCACAACCAGTGCTAACTTGTAAATGCAGGTATTATGCATTTCTCTGTAGGTTTGATTTCAAAAACAAAGTTTATTTTAAAGAAATAATTGCCTCAACCAATGTAAAAGAAAAAAAAAAGAGTCACTTGGCTTTGGTTGTTTTGGATTTGTCATTGGGTTGCTTTGGTTTTTTTCATGTGCATAGAATAGAAAAGGCCGGCCAATGGCTTCCTCTGAAAGAGGGGAAAGGATATTAGACAGGTTATTGAAAAACAGAGAGTAAGACATTGAAGCACTCAGGGCACAGACAGCTGGAAATGTGATCTGTAAGTATCATAAGTTGGCCAAGTGGCCTGTACATGATGTTTCTCTCTTAAAATCAAAATGCCTATGGTCTTTAATGACTCACTTATAATAAGTGATTTGAAAGTCCTCAGTAAAAAGGTATTATGAGACTTGTCTTCTTCCCTTTACGAGTAAGATAGATTAAAATATTTTATCATCAGATCCCTGTGTCTGCTAATCCCAATTATATAAATATGTGGAAAAAAGATCCAAACTATATCTAACCTCATTTACAAGTGCTTCTGGTGCTTTTTGTACAATCAGGGATGAATG